CCCGTGATTTGTCTGGACTGTGCTCAGCACTCGTGGTCGTGATGGGTCTCAGCACGGGACGTACCTAACATCGGGACTGACCCAGTAATGTGCACTCCTGTTATTTTTGTCTACTGGGCCTCCTTCCTTTCCGGGATACGCTTTGCAGAAGGAATGATTGGGGCTTCTAGAAATGTAGGGGCATCCGGGATGGTGCATATAGCGTGTTTTAGGGATGCAGTACTACAACCAAGATTCAGGGTCTCAATCTAGCTCTCGATGTCGTGATGCAAGATGTCTGCCACGGGTCTGGGATTCGACTTTTGATGCTTGCTCTGCCACGAGGGTGACAGGGGAGCTATTCTCCGGCTTATGCAAGCATGGGGGCGGGGTACGGAGGACAGGGTAACTGAGTCCAATGTACCCGATGTGGGGAGAGTGATTGACCTCTTACACTGTAAATGAATGCTCTGCACATAGTCCGAGATAGGATGGATATACGTTGTTGGAACCCAAGAAGATCCAACTGAGACGGGTTGAGTTTGGGGCGTATGTTGTAGGAGTTCAGGATCCACTGAAAGTGTAAAAAAACCGATAAGCCAAGGCCTCCGGGCCAGGCTTATTTATTGATTTATTGATTTATTGAATTTCTTTTATTTTATTTTTATTGATTTTTTTGGGGTTCTCTTGTGTGGATTCGTGAGCTCGGAGTTCGGTATCGACGTGAAGTTTCTTTGGTCGGATCCATGGGACCTCCCGTTTAATAAGATTCCACCCACGGTCCTATCTTTTAGGGGATCTTTTCCCACTCCGGACAGTGATCAGTGATGTACATCTATGGGGAGAGGGGGGACTTCCCAATTCCGTAACATCTGCTGGTAGTAGCCTTACATTCCACATTGGGAATAGTGCCTCCTCTGCGAGTTGCCTAAATCAGCGTAGGGCCTGGTATTTCTCTTGGCTTTGGGGCAAACCCGTTCCGTGGGAGCTTGGACCCGATGTGAAAGCTCCACGTCCACGCGGGATTTGGAATATCAGAGTCACCGTCGCCTCGTTGACCGTTTCCCAGGGATTTCTGTTGGATTGAATTTCTCACAAGGCTGGTCCAATGGGGAATTCCCCTTTCTTTTCATGATTTTGTTCTCTGAAACGATCGAGGTACTTCCAGAAGGGAAATAACCCCCCACCCCCCCCCGTCTAATCGCCCACAACTGGTAGCGAACGCGATCTCCCAAGTCCACGGGCGATTTCGTTCAGTTTCTTATTATAAACCAGGGAAAGACCGACTGGAAAGTACGCCTCAGCCGCACTCCTGGTGGCTCTAATGCAATCCCCCTGTCGTGTCCGGAGTAAATTTAGCACAGCTTATGCTCTGATCATCCCGCAGAGCGATCATTGCCTCCACGCCCATGGTGGGGTGTCCCCCTAGATCTAATCTCAGTTAGCCTAAATTGGCCTTAGGTTGGATTTATTTTTGATTTTATGAGCCTGAATGTTTTGGATTAAATTCATGAATTTCCTTTTTTTAGTTTTTTTTTATATTTTATTTTTATAAAACAGATTAATTTCCTCCAATTTACCCAAAGTCTATTAATCCTTGTAGATCTGAATAGCCCGTCTAGCATATCGTTCCCTCTATATCAGTCCATCCTCTCCTCTTCTTCATCTCTTCTTTCTAGATTCTCTGCAGCTGACATCTTCATACTTCAAAGCCTCCGATCTAGAGATCATTTCTAGTCCTCCTGGTCCCTTTCTCGTCCATTCTCTTTACCCATCATGACCCGGGGATCCACAAAGCGTACCAGTCCAAGCCACATCGTGTCTGTCTTGAACCCACCGTCCATCTCGTCGTCACCAGAGCCGCAAGAAGGGGCCCTGAAATCCAACATGACGGGCCGGAAGAACAACTCGCGTAAAAACGCTCCGGATACCATCACCTATACACCAACCACTCATCGCATCAGCAAGGCTAAGAAGGGAAAGCGCGTACATGCCTGTCAATACCCAGCATGTGGAAAGGTCGCAACCATATACACCCGTCGGATCAACCAAACTAACTGTCTTGCAGGTTTTCACCAGGGCGGAGCACCGAAGACGCCATGAGCTGAATCATAACCCCGAGGCATCCTACCGCTGCCCAACGCAAGGATGTAAGAAGGCATTCCACCGTGCTGATCTACTTGCACGTCACATAGAGAGACAGTAAGTACTTTCAAGAAGCTTTGGGCGAGATGGCGCATACTCACAAGAATGACAGCGAACTCGAATCGCAATCAGAGCAGTCCTCGTGGGAATCCAACCCCCCAGAGCTCATCGTGCCCGAGTCCGCTGTCCCGCGCTGTCTGTCCATGGATCACGGAATGACATTGGCCACCGCCTCTCATTCACACTCCATGTCCATCGGCTCCCTCGTAGCTCCTGGGATTCACCCGGATCTGGCCAACACTGACTGCTCATTGATGTGGAGCGGGGTTGACTTGCCCTTACAGCCCCGCCCAGTCTTCCATAGCCAGCTCCCCGACTCCGTTGACGACAGCCCATTTTACTCTTCCCCCGCAGAGACATGTCCCTCACCTCTGTCGGATGCGACGTTCTCTCTTCCTCCCCATTCTAGCTCCTCCATCTCTTCTGCGTATGTGTCCGTGATCGACCAGTACCCGAAGAATATCCTCAAGGGCGACGTCAATTCGTCCCCGCTTCAGATGCACAATTCCCCCCGCTGGGAGATTGATGCTGGCATGCCGCAGTCGCATCTAGTTGCCATACCAATGGAGGAGAATATGATCCAGCCAGTGAGTTGCCTTTGCGGTTATTCAGGATGACCATTGACGAATCCGTTTTTGAGTCCGTTCAGTGCCACAACCATTCTCCTGCGTGGTCCAGCGCAGACTGCCTTCCCTACGAGGACCAAGTCCACTCTCTGCACCAGTTCCAGCCTCGGAGCTGGATGTGAAAAGATTCCCCCAAGCCAGTCGATCAAAACCAAATTGATCCTTGACAGCCGAATGTGATGACTACACGACAACCCGGGCATTAATCTTCATCTGAAACTAGCGCGGATGATCCAACAGCCGTAGAAAACCTTGGACTCCATGAAAACGACACCAGCGGTGGGTCCAAGGGACGGGACTCCCGAGGGCCACTGGCCTGAGACGGTCTCGACTCCTGAGGAATGGTTCAATAGTCATTTACTAGGGCTCTCCATCTGTCTCCATTATTGCCCGGAGTGTGACCCTCTGGACTCCGGGTCCAGTCGCGGTCGGTTCCGCGCCCATGCACAATTCTTCCAAATAGAAAGACCAACGATAACCGATTTGCAGTCGGTTAGTCGATTCGTTGGTCTTACATCCCAGATACGGACGGGGTGCTAGATTTTTGTTGTCTTTGACTTGTTTCTTTATGCGTGATTTCCGGCGACACGATTACGATTGTTCCATTTGCTATTCATGTCTACTATACCATTTATACCCCTGCAGGTCATTGAAAAGTACAGTTCATTTTTGGGATCGTCTCACCTCCCCCCCCCCCCCCGGCTTAACGTATAGCTCCAACTCCGATGGAATGACACAAATCCTCTCCATAAAGTTCCACTCAATTCAACCATCCGTGAACCCGATCTCTGATCCAACGGAAATGGGCTCCGAAATCAACTTCGGCGTATGGAAAGCGGAACAAAGCCGACTTCCACTTCCCACGGTTGGCCCTTTCTGTGTGTCATGCTGTAACCGAACCCCTCCGGAAGACATTGTGCGCCAGGGCTGGAGATCGAATCCCGATTTGAAGATTACGATGTCCCACGAACATCATGCAATACCAGGAGAATATCCACACCAACTCAATTTGTAAACCCGCCACTTCAAAGAATCAACCTTTCTCGGCCGGGTACCCGAGATCCTAGACTCTCACACCTATGCCGAAAGACTCGACCAACTCCACTTGATGTTCCCGGACGCCCCCGGAAACTTACTTGGTAACCAACGCTGAATAGGGACCGGACCAAGCGGTACCCAGGCTATTCTCAATGTGGTAAACAGCCCTGCCCTTCTCCTCCCTGTTCTATCCACAGTTCGATTCGCCAAATTGATCCCGGGCCTCCGGGGAGTAAATTTGAATCTGGCGTTCCTGTCGGGATCTGGACTCTTCGCGGTTCGGCTATTTGGTCAATTTTCACCGTGTGTGGAGAATTGATAAGCTTTTGGGCTTCGATCTGGAAGTGTCTTGGAACTATTTTGGTGCCTATGAAGATGGATTGATTCGAGATGGAGCGTTTGACGGCGGATATTCAATTGCTGTAGGATTCTTAAGTATGCTGGCAATGTCCTTTTTATTGGTTGGAATTGAAATATTCTTGCTTTGTTTATCCCATCTCCCGAGTGCTCTCTAATGCGAAGCTCAGCTATAGGGCACGGTTGGTCTGGCGTGTCGATCAGGGGTGAGCTTTGATTGGGTTCTGGATATGGTGTATGCCGTTTTTAGCATGTAATACGAGCATTGGTGTGATGGATATTGTATGCTGTAGTTGTGTAGGTGATAGAAAACAACTTCGAATGGTCTGCTTATACTAGAATAGAGTCGTTCTTATCTGACCCAGATTTAAATTGGGCAAAAGGCCGCCTAATCATTAGAGTAATCGATTCTACTTCGGCAGAGAGATAGGATGAAAGGGCTATGGGTTCGTTGAAAAATCAAAAAGAAACAGAAACCGGCATCAAAACCTCGAAATTTAGGATAGCGAATCACTTGTGACTGTATACATTGTCTACAATTGAGTGTTGATCTTCCATTCTCAAGGATATCTCTAGAGTAAAGGGAACGCCATACCATCGCCTCGAAGATCGCTGCCCGCAGCATAAACCAGCTTCCCACCATCGTAGTACGAACGAATGATCTGGCCGCGACCAAACTTAGCCCGCTTCCACCCACTCAGTACCTCAATCTTGTGACCAAGACGACGCAGTCCCTCAACAGCGGCATCACTGATCCCCTCCTCAACCCATACTGTGCGATCAGTACTCTCCTCATTCGGTGCAGCAAGACAGAAGCGCGGTGAATCGAGCGCTGCCTGGGGATGGTACCCAAAGGCAAGCATGTTGAGCATAACCTGCACATGGCCCTGCGGCTGCATAAAGCCACCCATGACTCCGTAAACGGAGTGCAAGGAGCCATCGGAGGTATTAGTGACAAGGGCAGGGATGATAGTGTGGTATGGCCGCTTGAGCGGAGCCAGGACATTAGGGTGGCCTTCCTGCAGCGAGAAATTGGCACCACGGTTCTGCAGCGTGAAGCCACAGCCAGCAGGAATGATGGCCGTTCCAAACCCAGCGTAGTTACTGTTGATGAAAGAGATGCCGTTACCCTCGCTGTCCGTCACGGCGAAATACACCGTGTCGCAGTGATTGTGTGCCGGACTGCCGTGGTCCATGATATCCGCAGCGCGATCGGGTGTGAACAGCTTTGCCCGCTCTGCGAGGTATGCGCGGTCGAGTAGGCCTTGCGACGGCACATTCTCCACGTCTGGGTCTGTGACCCACCAGGCTGCGTCGGCAAATGCGATGCGCAGACTCTCAATCACGGCATGTAGGTACTCGGCTGAGTTATGCTGAGCCTCGGTGAATTTGGGGATCTTGCCTGCTTTCTCAAGTTCCTCCATGATACCGAGTGCCATTAGTGCGACGATGCCTTGGCCATTTGGTGGGTGCTCCCAGATCTCAACGCCCTGGTTGGCTTCGTCATGTGTGCCGCGTGTTGCTTTGGAGACGATGTCCTGGCCGGTGAACTTGAGCGAGATTGCGTCGACTTCCTGTGTTCCGACTTCGGCGTGATAGGCTAGATCCTCGAGTGACATGTATCCTCCTAGGTCTTGCACTACCTTGACGATGGATTCTGCGATCCGGCCCTGGTAGAATCCTTTCTTGCCGTCGGCAGCGAGCGCGCGAAAGGTCTTGGCTAGAGTGGGATTCTTCATGATCTCGCCTGAACGTGGGGCTCGCACGCCATCTTTGGCTGAAGGGTCGACTTTCAACATCTCACGGAAATTAGGAGATGCATTGCGGATGATTTTCTCGGACTCATTCCACTGCACGCGAGTTGGTTCATGGTGTCATTATACGGTTGCGATGGGGAACTGAATACTTACACCATGGGACGAAAGCTCCGACACAGGAAATCCCTCCTCTCCCAGCTGAATAGCCGGTTGTAGAATCTGCTCGAGCGATAACTTACCGCTACCAAACTTCTCCACTGTATCAACCCATCCTGCAGCCGCTCCAGGCGTAGTCGTAGCTAGAGCATTCAACATGGGAATGTTGCCCGGCTCACCAGGGGCCAGACCGAGATCCTTGCGGATTTTCTCTAAGCTGGCATTACCAGGATACCGTCCAGAGCCATTGAGCGCATGTACCTTCTTCGTCTTGGCATTGTAGAAGAGACAGAACATGTCCCCTCCGATGCCCGTAGAGCCAGGCTCAGTCATGTTGAGTCCGGCGGCTGTAGAAGCATGAGATGAGTTCATTGTTTCCTGCTGCGATAATGCAATTCGAGGCGAGGCTTACCCACGGCAACAGCGGCATCCTAGACACGAATTTCAACGTCAGCATTGTTCAGGTTAGATGCGACCAAAAAAAATCGAACAAAGGCCATACCGCCGCATTTCCACCCTGGCTCAGGATTTTATGACCCGCAGCAGCGGCTAGTGGTTGAGTGCATGATACGATGCCTTTTGTGCTGTGGACAGTACTCCGTCTGCTGGCAAACGCGACATAGTCCGCCTTCTCGCGGGAATATACGGCTTTGGCGTTGAGCGGCATGATTCGGATGCTGGAAAGGATGCTGGAGAAGTGGGAGAGTGGGAGAGTGGGAGAGCGGGGAAAATATGGGGGAATTTGGAGGAGTATGGGGGAAGATGGGGCAACATGGGGATATCCAATGCTTATCAACCCCCACTAATTCATGTAGGTCTCCCCGTCACAGATGAAAGTAAAGGAGCATGTCTGATAAGTTGGAGTACGTTTAATACATGCCTCCAACCCTGGGGACTTCATAATTACCAAATAAAAAAAATATTATCCAGTCCCCATGGGCACCTGGGTCGACTACTACTTCGTACATGCGTGAAAATTGATTCTCTAAACTCTTTGAGCCCTTTAAGAGGGCCTGGGTTGAGTGTACGTAAGAAATTGAAAGGCCGTTAAGAAGACGCCGTGTAGACATTTATGTGCGGGCGTCTCTTGTCCAAGTAGAGACCAAAGGGCTTAGCTTATGAGCTTTGCATACTTCATATCGGAGTCGCGGATGACCTCGGCAGTTTGGCCGAGGTTAGCTTGAGGTACTCCGTAGTTTGACATAAATTAGTTTAAGATTGTTCTATCCGTAAGGAATATGAAGTACATCGCATCAGATCTCACTTCTAAAAGACAAGTTCAAGATTACTAAGAAACTCACCGCCCCCGGTCTTCGGAGCGGCAGTTCATCCCCCTCAATCCCCTCAATCCCCTCATTCCATCATCCCACCATTTGGTTCCATAGGCTTAGCGGGGCAATGAACAAGACCCCTAATCTTATCTGATGAAACTGATCTTGATCAAAGGCCTCTGATGGAGCAGTATGGTGGTATTTGTCGACCTTGACGATTCATTCTCCGATGGATCGGCATTCTTGGAGAAGCCGTTCCCTGTGGTTGACCCCATCGCGTCGGAGCCGGCCGAACTACCCACATCGCCTATTTCGCCGAATGAAACGACCGAGGAGATCCAAAATCCTAATCGGAATGGATTCTCCGCAGCTTTGAGCTGTTATCCGTATGTGCTAGTTTGTCTACAGTCGGAAAATGATCTTCAGATCCAGCTAACAGTCATGCCATAGCATCGTCAAAGAAATCGCTCGTGCCATCGATTTGAATACCCTCTACGCCTTATCAAATTCATGTCGCCAATTCCACGCCAACTTGGCGCCCTTCCGCCACCAACTAGCGAGAGAGACTCTCCGCTGCGAGAATGAATACATCGAAACTCTTGCAGAGATGCTGCACAGCGGCTCTGTCCTCCCAGACAGTATCAAATCAGTCATACGACTACTTAGCCGCTCCAGTGGCGAGCACGGTCGGATGACTCGCGGGAAGGTGGGCAAGTGCGCACGCGATATGGTGGGTGAATGTCGACGCTGCGCCAAGGTTGTATGCAGAGTGAGTCAATTCCGCTCCCCCTCCCCCACAACCAAAGACCATCAAGTTGCTAAATCTAACTTTACAGAACTGTACCATTAAACCTCCTTCCCAACCAGCTCTGAAAAACCGTATTCGCCGTCTCTGCCGACCATGTAGAACAGCGCCACTCTCCTCCCACCTCACTTACATAACCTCAGATCCGCACAATCCCGACTCCTGGGATGAGAACAGCGTCGCGGCAATTGCATTCGCCCGCAACCCCTGCAACTGCGAGGAAGCCGTCTGGCTGTGTACGCATTGTGGAATGACGCTGCGCAGTAATGATACGACATATCGTCGGGTTTGGACATGGCGCACGCGCTATAGCACGTACCTCGGTGGCGGGCTGGGCACTGGCATTGGAGAGAGCTGTCAGGGCGTTAAGTGCGGGCGTGGTGAGAACTGTCTTGCTGCGCAGGAGATTGAGCTTGAGGTTGACTGTGAGGCGGATGAGGGATCCGGATCTGGGGGTGACACCAGCACAGTACAGAGTCCTGCAGCTCCTCCGTTGTTTGGCTATGAGGGTATTGGTATCTCGGTGGATAGCTATGATGATGATGAGGAGCCTGGGTATTTCAGGCAGGAGGTTATTGGGCTGGGTGGCGTTGTTAAGCAAAAGTCTAAGAAGAGGGTCAATGTTGGTGCTTGTGTTGTTGAGTATGAGGATGAGAGGGAAACGGGGAACTATCTTGAGAGGGAGGAAAAGGGCTTGCATCGTGCTTGGTGTGGGTGGTGTTCTAGAGTGATTCCGGCGAAAAGCGAGCAGACTTGATTTATTTTTCTGCTTATTCGGACTGTCTGGTTTACGACTTTGCATATTGTATGCGGCATTTGCTGCCCGGGCGATTTTTCTACTGTTCACGACTGATGCCACGGGGAAGATACCAGTTTTGCAAAATGACAACGGAAACGAGACATCCATGATTGTCAACTTGGACAGAGATCCTACAGTGGCAAGAGACCATGCACCCGGGGAACTGACACTCCAGATAACCTCAATCAAAATCCTTGTTAGGTTGGTTGATGCAATTGAATCAAAATCTGGCTAATGAAATAAGTCAAATACTCCTGCAATGATTCGCTCCCCAATGCAAGCGCAAATTCATCAAGCATACACATGGTCACATATAGATCATTCTGTCAAACCAAAAAATCACCCCGGGTAACGTAAAAGACAAGGTTGAAAGTGAAAGCAAATCAACAATCTCTCTGGTCTCAATGGGCAGCAATCGCTCTCAAGAAACCCTTCAGCTTAGACTCCTCTCGGGGAGGCGATTCCTCGCGCCTGTGGCGACGATGAGAGTGAACCTCTCTTGGTTCTCTGGAACGGCGGGAGGAGCCCTCAGGCTTCTTCTCCCTCTCCCTGCCTTTATCTTTCTCTATTTCCCGTTCGCGTGCGTGCTCGAGGCCACGCTCACGCTCACGCTCCTTACCCCTCTCTCTCTCCTTCCTCTCCTCCCTGGATCGGCCATGCTCAGCCGTCGACGAGCGTCGCAATCTTCTACTCTCAGTACGATCAGCACGCTCACCGCGAGGGACCTCCTCTTCGCGTCGTGACCGTGATCCACTAGATCGACTATTGGACTGTCGCTCTTCATGCTCCGTCCGATCGTGACGACTGCCACTACTATGACTTGTGGATGACTGGCGCGGCCTTTCAACGGGTGGTGCAGCCTTGGTGGCATTTAAACGAAGCAAAGGCCCATTGGTATCGGATTTGCCTTCGGTCATATATCGCAGGAAGGCGCGGGGCTTGGGCGTGGGTACCGATGTTGATACCGGCTTCGATGAAGAGTTCCTAGTTGAGCGGGCTCGTTCGGGAGTTTGACTTGAAGGAGTGTCGGAGGTGTGACGTCTGGATCTGGATTCGATGACTTCAGCCTCCGTTTCTGGTTCCATTGCCCTCTCCTTCTCCCTCGTTTTCTCCTTGGACGAGCTCTTTGTGCGCTTCAATTTCTCAGAGGCATGGATACCACTGCGCGCTCTCTCCTCGGTGAGAGCGCGCTGCTTTCGTTGCAGCTGGGATTTCTCGTCGTGTTGGCGTCGCGCTTCTTCCAGTGCCCTGGCCCAGCGATTGGTGAAGATGTTTCGCTCGCTCTTCTCGCGCTGGAGTTGATCCCGACGGCCTTCGGACGAAGGCTTGGACTGCCGACGCTCTCCATCGATTGGTGAGGTACGCTTTCTGCGACGTCTAGAGTGACGGGCATCTGTGGCTTCTACGCTTTCGCCGAGAGGCTCGGCGTCGACCATCTCCACCTCGAGATGGGCGTCTGCTGGGGGTGGTACGAGCTCGTTGGGCGCCACTTCGTCGCTAGCGGTAATAGCGACTGGCTCGGGGTCAGCGTCTGGTTCTGCTGGTGGATCTTCTGTGGGGAGGTGTTTGGCACCCTCTTGCTCAGGGGTAGGCTCTTCTGGTAATGTCTCAGGTAATGCCCCTTCCGGCGCTGAAGTCTCGAATGGGACTGTAGCTGCATCGGCCTCTGGTGTCTCAGCTGGGGCCTCGTCCGGAACTATTGACACAGCCGGGGATTCATCAGGTGCCGGGATCTCAGCTCGGGTAGCTTCGGCAGGAGCTGGCTCTTTGCGCGTTGGATCGTCAGCGGGTGTTCCCACTGGAAATTCTTTTGGCGCCTCCTCGGGTACGATTTCCGGTTCTGCTAGAACTTCTGCGGGTGTCTCAGTTACGGGCGCTTCTTCCACTGCGGCAAGAGTAGGTGCCTCCTCAACCGCTGGTTCTTGGGCGGGAGTCTCCTCTATAGTATTTGCAGCAGCGGTGATTTCTTCACCCACTTCCTTCTCTTCAGCGGCAGGTGCCCCAGCAGCTTGAGAAATCTGCTCAACTGTTTCCGGTGCGGAAGGTGCAGGCTCCTCAGTAGTAGCACGTTCAGGCTCGACAACAGCCTCAGCAGCGGGTTCGGGAGTAGGCTCAGCAGGGGCTTCAACCACAGGCTCGGCAGCTGACTCAGCAGCGGGTTCTGGCTCGGCAGGAGCTTCAACCACAGGCTCAGCAAGAGCTTCAGTGACAGGCTCGGCAGCGGTTTCTGGCTCAGGCTCAGCAGGAGCTTCGACCACAGGCTCAGCAGGAGCTTCGACCACAGGCTCAGCAGGAGCTTCGACCACAGGCTCAGCAAGAGCTTCAGTGACAGGCTCGGCAGCGGTTTCTGGCTCAGGCTCAGCAGCATGTTCAGGGGCAGGCTCGGCTGGAGTGCTTATCTCAACGGGTGCCTCTTTAGGAGGCTCCTCGAATGGTTCAGGCTCTATAGCCTCCACCTTCTCCTCCGCAGCAGCTTCCGGTTCGACAGCAAGTGTTTCCTGAACTAGCGCAGCTTCCGGCTCTGGTTCCTTGACAGGTTCTTCGGGAGCTTTTTCTTCTTCTGTTGAAGGCGGAGCAGGTTCAGGTTCTGCTACTGGTGCCTCTGCTGGTTTGGGTGCGACCTCCGGATTTGTTTCCGCCTCTGTTTCCGCTGGTTGTTCGCTTAATTCAGGTGATGCTTCAGGCTCCGGCGCTGCTTCTGCGGCTGATCTTGGTTGTTCCGGTTCGGGCTTAGGCTCTGGCTCAGCTGCCTTCTTGCCTTTCTTGCCCTTCTTTTTCTTATCCTTGCCTGCTGGCTTTTCTTCCGCAGGTGCCTCGGGTGCTATTGGCTCTTCTAGGGCCGAGGTATCAGAAGGATTATCTGCGGGCTTTTCAGGCTCAGCTCC